TGTGTACGCTCTAATATCCACTCATCTAACTGCAGACATGTGGATGTATTAATTGTGTACAACGATAGTTTTCACATCACTAACAGTGTCCCAGTATCACCTCTAAGTGTCACCAATGGACCAATAACCATAGAAACGGTTACATGCTGTATCCCCAGATTCTATGAGTATAGGCGTAGCTCTTTAAGGCTATCGCTAGTGGGTTGATCCCTTTGCGTGCAGCGCAGCACTGAAAACTTTAGTCTGCGCCCACCGGCTGTGTGGGCCTCACCCCCGGTCCATATAAATTACAATGAGACCAGGCAATCTACTCCCAAATAGCTTTTTTTCTTCAGCCATTTAGGAACTAGTGAGGCTCAGAGCTTAAAGGGCTGCGCCCATACTCATAGAATCTGGGGTTACAGTACGTAGCCAATGTTCTATTTCGTATAGGCTTCCCCTTTAAGGCTATCACTAGTGGGTTAAAGGCAAAGCAGGATGTAGTCTATGCCTCACTGGGTCCATTCAGACATGACATGAAGCGCCTGCTTGCATAAAAAACATTTCATCACTCAGCCTTCTGTGTGCGTAATTACACGCTCCATGCGTAGGAGCGCACCAGAGAAAAGATCTCTGGTGAGGAAAAAGGCTGAGATAACAAACCTGCTGCTGTGAATAGGAACAACGGAGGATAAGAATTGTAACAGTGTAACGATGAACAGAGCAGACCAACAGCTCCTGAGGATGAACCAATTAATAACAATAAAATCAGCAGTTATGAACTTGTGATTGATAATAAATATCTCACACTGCGACTGCATGCAGGCAGGTGTGAGCTCAAAAGTGAAGCTCCATGAAACAAATAATAATCATTCTGTCAGAACCCTGAGAACAGAATGGGTCATGGAGAAAGTAGAAACATCATGTAGATAAAAGAGAATCAATGAACATGGCGATGACCAGGCAGCCGCCATACAAATATCCTCCACTGTCATCCCTCCATGCAGAGCCATGGAGGATGAAAACCCTCTGGTGGAATGTACGCTGAGATTCTCTGGAGGATCCAGTCCAGATGAACTGTAAACTTCAGAAATAGCCTCACACAACCAGTGTGAGAGGCGCTGGGTGGATAGAGGACGTCCTGAAGAGCTGTCCCTGTAATGCACGGACAGATGCTGAGAGCGGCGCAATGCGGCCGTGCGCGCCACGTAACACGAAAAACACGTGCACGGAACAGAGGAGGTGAGATGTTGCTTCCTCCTCTGAATTATGAGGAGGAGGATAAAACCCATCCAAGTTATCACTCTCGATCTGAATGAGCTTGTGCTGCTTTTCAGAACAGGGTTAACTGTTAACTTTTTACTTTTACCTTGTTGTCTGACTTATTTCTAGAGCACTCATTAGCTTCAGTTGTTTTGAAATGTTTGATACTCATCCTGCCACATTAGAAAACCCAAAACACATCTTAACATTCATAACTCAGCATGCTGTGACTTTTGGTTGCAGTATGACTTTGACAAAATTCACTAAAGAATTGTGAAAGATGTCCACACAACTATGAAAAAAAAAAAAGAGTACTGCACTTAATACGCCAGCCAACAAAATATTTACAGCAATCTGTAACACTGGTCTGGACAAAGACCTTGCTTTAACATTGACCTTGATTTGTGATCTTGATCTTGGAGCTGGGGTGATGAAAAGTGTGTGTGACACTTTGTTTAGTGATGATGCATTTGGATGTGAAATTTAGTTAAACTGTCAGAGCAGATCAGACATTAAGGGCAAGACAAGAGAAAGTTTCCATTCATACATACAACGTACAGAAACATACCATAATATGTCCTGCTTTCAACAAATGTATAAAACATAAGAAAACCCTGCCTCACCTGGAGCTCTGCAAGTCGGAGACAATACAAATGTCATTCAAAGTTTAAACGGGTTGCAAAGAGTTGGACTTGGTGTGTCTGAACTGGCATTTTACCATTTTTAACTCTTTACAAACATTTTTAACTCTTTACAAACATTTTTTAACTCTTTACAAACATTTTTAACTCTTTACAAACATTTTTAACTCTTTACAAACATTTTTTAACTCTTTACAAACATTTTTAACTCTTTACAAACATTTTTTAACTCTTTACAAACCTACAGACTAAATTTTTGAATATTTGATCAGAGAAAGTTGAGCTTCACACATTAACTTTTGAGCTGTCTAAATATTCCCAAACTTTTGTAAAGTCTTTACAACTTGTATTTCCACAATCTTTACGTTTTTTATACATGGAAACCGAAAGTTTGTCTCTTTTCAGTGTGTCTCTCAATGCTGTAGGATTTACTGTTGTTGTCTCAAATCCCTCAGAATGCTGTGTGCACACTGCACACCCAAACTCTCATAATACATGAGTTGAATTTTGATTTTTTTCCAAACTGGAAGAGAAAACTTTGTAATGTGTCAAATATACCATATAAAATACTACAGCCTTTATTAAAAAAAGGAAGTCCCAAGTAACTGTTGGGATTTAGAAAAGAAAGTTGGTGACGCTGGACTTTCAGGCAGAAGCTGATTTGAAACCTTTAAAAAAAATTCTACCTTTTCTAGATTGTTATTAAGTCCCATATTCAATTCAATTCAATTCAAAAATACTTTATTAATCCCAAAGGGAAATTATTTGTTGTAGTAACTCATTATCCTCATTTCATTAAGAGATGCTATAGATGCTGATGGCTGTAGGTAGGAAGGATCTCTTGTAAAGGTCCATCCCACAGTGGATCCTAAGAAACTGGCTGCAGATGCCGTCCGATCCGTCCACCCAGACTCGGCTGGCCTCTCGGTTCCCTCGGGCTGTAGGACCGCCTGAATGCTGGGCAGAACTCCTCCCAGAGCGATGGCCACTCCTCCCAGAAGTCTGCCGAGCTCCTCGTCACTGCGGACAGTCAACTGTAGGTGCCGAGGGACGATCCTGTCCTTCAGCTGTCATGAGCCATGTTTCCTGCTATTTCCAGGATCTCAGTGGTCAGACACTCGAGCACAGCTGGCACGTAGATGAGAATGCGTCCACAGAACATCCTTTTCTACTCACTTGAGATTTGGGGCTGTAGTTGAGATATTATTTGAGCTTTTGAGATGTTAATCATTTGTTGTTGTTGTAGAAAACTGCCTTGTTGCCATGGTTACGCATCATAACAAATGTCCAAAACCAAAAAAGTTTCAGTAAAAATCCTTCCTGCTGCACAGCATCTGATACCAGAGGAAACAATCATCCAAAAAATGTGATTTATATCCAGAAAAAGAGGAATTAAAGTTTCCAAAAGCAAAATCTCTGAATGAAAGTAGCAGAGCTGCTCCAACATGCAGCCACCTGGAGCAGCGCAATTCTAGAACATGACTTTTCATATGCCACCTATAACTAATAAAATACTACAGCATATTGTGTACAGCTGTGTACAGAAGAGAATTAGGGCCCTGCGGGGTGGGAGTTGGACTCGGGTCTGCCAGTTGTCACCGATTCTGTTCAATATTTATGGACAGAATGTCTCCGTTCAGCCAGGGGGGTGCAGGGTTTCTAGTTCAGGGCCTCAGGATTCCATCTCTGCTCTTTGCAGATGATGATCCTGTTGGCATCATCGTGCTGTGATCTTCAGCTCTCACTGGAGTGGTTCACAGCCGAGTGTTAAGCAGCTGGGATGAGAATCAGCACCTCCAAATCCAGATCCTCCTAATCAAAACGCCTTGGGATCCTCCCAGAGGAGCTGGAAAGAAAGGACTAGGCCTCCCTGGACCTTCCTTACTCAAGATGCTGCCCCCAAGACCCAATGGATGGATGGATGGATGGATGGATGGATGGATGATGGATGGATGGATGGATGGATGGATGGATGGTTCATGAGGTATTTTGCTAACAGACAAACACACGGAGAAAACCATGGTCTGTGTATTTTATTACATCAGATATTTGTTTCTATAAACCTGCTGCAGTCAGTCTTTGTAATCGACTACACCTTTATGTATTTGTCACAAAGATTTAAAACATTTTAAAAGTTCGCAAGACAGAGAAAAAAGCTGTAATGCTATTGAAAAGGGATATTTCTTTGATTAAACACATTTGGAAAAGTTCCTCGTGTTGGCAACTAGCTAAGTGAAAGTCCGCACGTGCGATCAAATGAACGTTTGGGATTTGAAACACACAAAAAGGAAGTATTCAAAAAAAAAAGGCTTCTTACCGCTCGTATTTTAATTTCAACCACCACTTTAAACGCTCTTGTAGTCATTTATACTCTTCTTTGAGAGCCTGAATCAAACAGTAGTCTTGTTCTGTTTAGCCGTCAGCTTTTACTGTCGCCATGGTTACCGCCACTTCCGGGTTTGGTTACTGGGGCAACGATAGGCCCCTTTCCCAGACCGCAGGCGTGATGGCTGACCTCATCAGGTATCAGATTACCAAATGTATGATTGTGTTAGCAAAATATCTCATAAACCAGTGGAAAGTTGCTAATGATTCTCCCAGAAGGAACCACTGAAGACTCTTCTACAAATCATCTACTTTTGGAGTCAAATCATTTAAAATCCTGGAGATCTTGAGTTTATTATCTCGGCCACATTTACAGATGATGAGCTAAATCTTGGTGTGGTAGTGGCTGACATTCATCCTCATTACATACTCTGAGTATTAATAAATCTCATGAGAGCTTGCATTGTTGCACAAATAAAACATATTTACATAATGACTTAATCTAACTCTGTCATGTTAAACTTAACTCGGTGCATAATGTTTCAGGAGAAAGTTGTAGCGTTGAAATGTGCTTTCAATACATGACACGGTTCTGCAAACACAGGAAGAAATGTTTTTATGATGCTTGACATTTTTACATTTTTCCTCTTAATGGTTCCGTTTGGCACGTCTCACAGCTACAGCTTGCAGGTCCAAAAAAATAAATTAATTAAATGAACTGAATTAAGTTTGTAGCACGTCATAGCCCTTATCAAGAGAAGAACTGAAAAAGCTGACTTTTCAATAAATATGCAGTAAAACACAAGAAGTTTGGAACATAAATTTTCATTAAAAAAAAATAATTTTTAGGTTTTCTCATTATTCAAGTCCATTTGTCCGATACATTAATCTCTAGTCTCCGTTGGCTCCGTTGTGTCTGGGTCAGAATCAGAATGGGAATCGTGGTCCTCGTCTTTTTCTGGAGTGTTTTCTCCATCCTGGTTGACGGCCACAGCTCCTTTTCTCTGAGGCAGGATGGTGAAGAAAGCTTCCTGCCAGCTGCCCTTCTCCAGATATGCCAGGATGATCTCAAACACTGCAGGACACATGAACATTTAGTTATAAAGCCCTTTACAACAAACCAAAGGTCAGCAAAGTTCTTCACGGTACAAAAGTTAAAAGGAACAATGACAATATAAAACGACGCCAAGTATTAAAATACTGCCTGAATAAAAAGGCTCAGGTCAGTGATGGTCATGAAGAAGTTGGTTCCACGGTCTGAGTGTGGCGATCAAAAGGCTCCGCCACCCCACCGCTTGTATTTGGACTTTGGGACAAACAGTAAAGATGTATTAGTTGTCCTTAAAGTCCTCCCTTACTCACAGAAAGCTACTAGATCAGCTAAACCATTGCAACATTGTCCAAAACCCAGAATGATGGGCTGCCTTCAGGCCCAGACTTCCCTTGAAAGAGAACTGTGACCGAAACACGATTTTCCTGGTTAAATAAAATGGTAAAAAAAGGAATGAATAAAAAAAGAAGGTGGGGCTAGTAAGATGGTTAAAGTAAATAGGAGCTTAAAATCTATTCTAAAAAGGATTGGAAGCCAATGGAGAGAGAACAAGCCGATGTACAGAGGGATCTGAACAGTGAATGTTTGTAGTTTTGAAGACGAGTGTTTTTCTGAACTGGAATTGAACAGAGAATGAAACTAAACCTTAATGTTATTGAATATCCAAAAGGTAGGACTTAAGACTGTGGAGAAGAACACAGGTTTTTTTGTTTCGTTTGTCTGAGGCAGCACAGAGTGACGGAGCCTGGTTAGTGGAGGGGGACATTTTATCCACCCCCAGGTGCAAGGGAGGAGCCAGGGGGTGGATAAATGGTGGCCTTGGCCACCATCAATTAATCTTCGGCCACCCCAATTATTTGAGGAAACTATACTTTCAAGCAATATAAAAACTAGAAACCAGTTTCCTTAAATGATCGGGGTGGTTAGTTTACATACAGTATATATATCACCTCCAAACCCCTCCACGGGTCTGCACATGGCAGCGAGCCAGGTGAAGAGGGAGCTGAAGAGGCTCAAACAGAGAAAGGCTGCTGGCCCAGAAGACATGAGCCCTCATGTGCCATCCAGCTCTGTGGAGTTCTGCAGCACCGCTTCAACATAAGTCTGCACCTTGAGAGTCCCAGTGCTATGAAAAACATCCTGTCTGGTCCCAGTGCCTAAGAAAGAATGACCTATAGCACTGGGTGACCACAGACCAATAGCAATGACCTCTCATCATGAAGGTCATGGAAAGACTGGTCCTAGCTCACCTGAGATTACTGGTACGCTCGTCACAAGACCCTCTGCAGTTTGCATACCAGCCAAAGGCTGGAGTTGATGATGCAATCATGTGTGTGTTGCAGAGGGCATACAACTTCCTGAGTAGACCCAACACCTCAGTACACATCGTGTTCTTCGACTTCTCCAAGACCTTCAGCACCATCCAGCCCAGGCTGCTGAAGGCCACACTGGAGGACTTGCTGGTAGATGCTCCCATGGTGAGATGGATAGACCAGTATCTGATGGGCAGGCCACAGTTTGTGAGATGACAGAACTGTGTTTGAACGTATGATCCGCAATGTCAGGGCCCCCCATTCATCTTCACCTCCTTCACCACAGACTTTAGGTTCTGCACAGTCGTGTCAGCTCATAAATATTCTGATGACACAGCCACTGTGGGACGTGTGGAGGGAGGACAAGAGGATGAGTACAGGGACCTGGTGGATCGCTTTGTGAGGTGGAGTGTGGAGAACCACTTGCAGCTGAATGTGGAGAAGACAAAGGAACTGATGAATCATTTCAGGACGGATAAGCCAGCACCATCTCCAGATACCTGGGTGTCTATCTGGATAACAAACTGGATTGGTCCACCAACGTCATTGCAGTGCACAGGAAGGACATGAGCCGACTCTACTTCCCGAGGAGGTTCAGATCATATGGAGTCTGCAACATGATGCTCCAAATCTTCTGTCAGTCTGGAGTGGTGAGCACCATCTTCTATCCTACGATGTGCTGGGGGGCAGGCATCAAAGCAAAGGACGCCAACAGACTGAAAACGTCACCAAGAAGGCAGAGTCTGCTGCGGGATCCAAGCACCTCTGGAGGAGGTGACTGAGAACAGGATGCTAGCCAACCTGCGGCCATCATGGACAACAACTCCCACCCTTCCACCAAACTGGAGACAATCTGAAGAGCAGCTTCAGCAACAGACTACACCAACCCCACTGTTCAAAAGAGCAGTACAAGAAATCTTTCCTGCTAACTGCGGTTGAATTATCCAATTTATCTGCCTCATGATGTGATTAACGTTGGACTCAAACTAATTCTGTTGATCATCTGTGGTTTATTCAACAATGTTACTGTTTGTTTGTGCACATCTGACAGTGCACTGTCCTCACACCACGTCATTATGATGCGTTTAATGTTTGCACCCGTTTTAGGTTGTGTTTTCAGTACTTGTCTTAACCCGTGCTGTTGTTGCTGCTGTGACAATCTACGGTAATTTCCTCAAGATTGGAATTGTTTAAAATCCTTACCATGGTTGACTGCTAGAACTTTCCGACTGTTCATTTTAACAAAACTGCTGAGAGGAAGCTGTGCGTGTTCAATCCCAAGCTCCTTCGCCCTCTCGTAGGTAATCCCCTGCAAAAGAGAACCCCCTGCAGGTCAGAAACAATCAAACTAGCAACCAGAGTGTGTATCCGCGCCAACAGGCCATACTATAACCCCCGTCTGGATTATACCTGGGTTTACAGGAGCCTACACTAGATTATACCCTGGGTATACTCTGGCCTAGGCCAATTTATAGTCCGGGGTATAACTTGGTATAACTTGGCCTAGGCCGATTCATATCCCTCAGGCCAGATTATGGGTATATAGATGGGTACATTCTGGCCTGGGGGAGTAGAGTCTGGCCTAGGCTATTTTACACCCCTGGGAACAGTTTGGCTAAAGAGCCCAGGGTGTACTCTGGCCTGGGCCAAACTATACCCAGGTTTAATCTGGACAGGGGCTAATTTGGCCAGTTACACTGGGACACTGCCTGGCTCACCTTGTGATGGTTGTGGTCCACCAGGCCTCCGATCACATAAGCCTTCTGTTGGTCCAGTTCGTCCAGCACGTTGGGAGAGTCCGAGGTTAGGTAGACCAGCTCATCCTTGGCCAAAACCTCACTGTAATGTTCTGTTTTAATGGTAATGTCCTGCATGCACATATACACACAAGACTTACTCACAGAGACAAATAACCTTTAACAAGAAGAACTGACAGGGTTGAACAGAACCAGATGACTTTTTGTTTTCTTGAGAAACCCTAAAGAGAGAACAAACATCTGCATCACCACAGTGAGCTGCAACATATTCATCCTTTTTGACATTTTCTCTGTTCTGTTTGCTTATAACTTGGAAATTCAAAGTAAAACAAGCGGTGCACTGATGTCTCCCATCGCTGAGGGATTTGAATAATGAATGTAGTTTTGGAGACGAGTGTTTTTCAGGACTGAAACTGAGCAGAGGATGCGAGTAAACCTAAATGTTTTTGGTGCAAGACATTAAAGTGGATACAAACTACACTGTGGAGGAGAAGGGGGAGGTTTTTTTTTTTTTTAGGTCTGAGGCAGTGCAGAGTGATGGATCCTGGAGAGTGGATCCAACTTTATGCACCATCAGGTGCAATGGAGGAGCCAGGGGGTGGCCAATGGTGGCCTTAGCCCTTATTGATTAATCTTTGGCCACCCCAAATATTTGAAGAAACTTCACTTTTAAGCAATATAAAAACTAGGAAGCATAGTTTCCTCACATGATAGGGGTGGTGAGTTTACATATATCCAGGTCTCTCTTGTAAATGAGTCCTCGTGGCAAAGTGGGACTAACCTGTTTTAATAAAAGCTGAATGAATATATGATGGTGGCCATTTTGGATTTTGACGTAACAACCTAATTTTTGAAATGAACCTTTCTTACTGCTAGATGCAGCCACACACCAAAATGGAAGATGGTACTTCACGTTTTTCTAAGTTATGCTAACAACATGCACCAACAGACTGATGGAGTGTATTGGGCAGATGTGGCTGAGTGGTTATAGCAGTCGTCCTCCAGTGGTGGAGTTGGGGGTTCAATTCCACCAGCAGTCACATTTTGAAGTGTCCCTGGGCAAGACAATGACCCTCTAATCGTCTCTGATGTGTGTCCCATCAGTGTATGAATGTGATAAAGCTCTGATTATTCTTTGTAGAGATCTAGTAGAGAGCTGTATGGATGTGTGAGTGGAGGTAAATGAGGCCCAGATTGTTGTAAAGAGCTTTGAGTATCTTGATTAGATAGAAAGATGTTATAGAAGTACAGTCCATTTACAATTAAATGTTTTTATATTCATTTATACACCTACAGCAACTATGAAAGCATAGAAAACTGGAGCCTATACATTTATCCCTCACGCAACCAAACACCACCTGTTGCAGCAGCTCCAACATCAAGTCTCCATGATCTCCATCCAGCTAACCTCTGGGATGTTTGTCCGGTCTTCATGACCTGCGTAGAGACCACCCTAGCCTTCCTGCTGTCTTCAGCTTGGTGGGAGATGTTTCTATGAACGTGTGTTGAAATGCTGCTGGTCGTGGGCTCCATCAGAACAGGTGTACAGAGATCACTGATCCCACTGAAACAATTATGTGACTTGAAGGCAACAGATGGAGCTTCAAAACTAAATGGGTGAATGCATCTGAACACAACTTTTGACTCCGATTTAGTTTAGAATGATTTAAAAAAGGATTAAGATAATTTTCTTCATAAATCTTGAGCAGCACTTACAACCAGATTGAACATTGATACCAAATGTGGTGAAAATCTTTGCTACCCACTGTAAGTGATGGCAGATCGGGGGGGGTGTTGCCATGAAAATAACTACATTTGGTGTTTTTGTTTCATGTACAACACCAAGCATTTAATAAATATATAAATAAACAAGCATCAGACTGGTTGTGAGCACCTTCCAGTTTACCCATCCTTTGTCCTTCTCGTCCATGCTCTGTTTCAGCTGTCCGCCCATGCTCGTGAGATAAAACTGAAGAATTGAGAGCAGAGGAAATGAGTCACAGCTGCTCTGAATCTTACACACTCCTGCTGATTCACTTGAAACCACACATTTACATGCACTGTGTAACCAGGTTTTATTCTCACAGACAGCAAATTAGACTAAACCTGTCCTGCTCCGGGGGAGAATTTAACCCCGTTTCAAAAAGAACGAAGGGCGATGCTTTCTTCTGATTAAAGCTCCTGTTAACAGGGCACCAGATCTAACGTATCGACTTTGATCAATTGATTCATTCAACCTTAATGCTCATCAGAAAGCTGAGAGCCGAACCTGTTCTTTACAGGGAATTTTCAATCATAATATGTTACCAATAAAATACACTATTGTTGACTTCGAAAACCATCAAAATAAAATCACAAAGCACAAAATCAACAGAAAAACAAGTAAAACCCTGAAACTTTGGGGAGAATCTTGTTCATCCAACTCTGAATTACCTGAACCTTAAAGTTGTCTCCACTTCATGATTTAACCAAGAGAATGCTCTAAAGCAGGAATTAACCCTTTACGATCTGAAGGAAAACTTTGATTAGAAGTTCATCTAAAGTATAAAAAAATCTGTTTGAAATTAGGATCCATGTTTGGATTTGACATGTGCAAGAATACACGCATGGTTCGATCATTTTCACGACTAATTTAGGTCAGGAGAATGTTAGTTTGATGAAGGGTGAGATTGGAAGTGAAGATTTTTATCACCTTGCATGAATGGACCAACTTTTATCACCAGACAAGAAGACAAGGTCTTACTGTGGTTGGACAGGACTGGGTTAGTCCTCCCTGGAAATGATGCTGAGCAGACGAAGAGTCTGGAAGGACGGCAGGACCCGCGAGTCAACTGTTGAGGTCAACAGCTCGTGTGGAAGGTCATCCAGGAGGGTTAAGGGGATGGAGATAATCTTTAACTGGACTCATCTCTTGAGGCTACAAACTGTCCTCCTGGACCCTGCAGCTCAAACACTTTCTTAGTTTTTAGCAGCAGTGTCTTTAAACTCCCAGACATTCGTCAAATGTTTTGGGTTTCCTTCCACAACAACAAGCTGCAGTTTTGTCTGGTTCCTCCTGACAGAACAGAAGTGGTGGAGCTGAGTCAGGTTTGTAGGCCATCTCGCTCACATCCAACAGTTTGAACCTTCAGGCCAAGGATGAGCCCGCTCTGTGAAGGTCCATGATTCTCTTCCTGAGTTTATGAATGAGTTCTTCTGATTTTCCCATGATGCCACACAAAGAAGCAGTGTGTTTGAAGTGGCCTCCAATTTACTTCAAATGCCGTCAACTAACCAATCAAAAGCTTCCAAAACCATGACATCATCACCTGGGCTTTACGTAATCGTTTAAAGACTTGGTGTGTGTGAACTTGAGACTTTGAAAAGAGTAAAACATTTCCTCTCATTATTCCAACATTTAGCAAATAGAAATCATTTTGTGAATCCTAACTGACCTAAACACGAGACGGTTCAGTCTAATTTAGTTTCTGACAGCGAGATAAAACCGTTATGTGTTTGTTTATATATAGTATGGTGTATGGAAACATCTGGGGTCAGCTGTGAATGCGTCAGGCACCACTAACCTGCACAGGATGGGAGGCTCGTCTGTTCTCGGCGTAGCACCTCTGAATCTGTTTGTGAAGTTTCCGAACATCCTGAAGAGGCAAAGATAGCAGTAAGGAGGTGTCTGGTACATGTCCCATTTTAACACCCAGTCCCTCAGTCTGGTTACCTAAAACCATGACAACACCCACGTACCTTGACGAGCATGAGGCTGTCGAAGCCGCAGTCCACCACGAGCCTCAGAGAGCTGGGCGTCACGTCTCGACGTGGACGTTTCCTGGCACTCTGACAGTCTCCTGTCTCCTGCTCCGGTTGACTCTGTCTCTGCTGCCGGCGCTGCAGCTTCCTGTCCTTTCTTCTCTGCCTGAAGGTGACACAAGGCAGCCACTGATGATCCCACATACTGGTTAGCTCGACCCGGCACAGGTTTCTAAGAGCATTCTGTATCTAAGCAGAGTAAAGATGAAAGTACTGGTCCTCTCAGGTTGGGTCACAACAGGAGGTTTCTATGAGTTTCTTTGTATGAGTACAGCACAACGGTTCTTAATGCAGTCACGTCTGCAGGACGGGTGAACACAAGTCTCCAATTTGGGTTCATTCTTGCACCCTTTCTAAAGTGAATTTCTCTAAATTCACTGAATGGTTTTATATTACCGTATTTTCCGCCATACACGTTGCACGCCCTATAAATCCCATCAGTCCATATAAGTCTAATAAAGTGGAAAATAAATACATTGCTGGCACCGCTGACAACCTGGAAATGTGGGCCGGTGTTGTGCCAAAAATCAACAGGCTGCCAAATGGCGGCCGCTGGGGCGTGCACGGGAGGACTTTAACAAAAATTTAACAAGACTAACACCTAAAAACAATTATTTGTTTGCTCGAAATTATAGTAAAAGTGTGTCTCAGTTGAACTTTTCCTTAATAAATGCACTTTGACAGTCAAATCAGCTGCATTTCAAAAGCTGATTTGTGGCCGCTGGAGCGCGTAAAGGGACGACTTGCTGTGCATTTCTTCGCTATTTAACAAGATAAACACCTAAAAACATTTGTTTGTTTGCTCGACTTTATAGTAAAGATGTGTCTCAGTTGAACTTGTACTTAATAAATGCATTTCACTGGTCAAATTAGCTGCATTTCACCAGGGTGGTGCAGTGAAATGAAGCTGATTTGACATTTGCTCCAGGCGAGCTGGACGAAGGTGGCAGGCTATGGCAAGCTGACTGTGTCATTAATGGCCACTTTTACCTAGTGAAGTAACTTGGCATGTGACAGTAACACAATGTAACAGTGACACAATGGCATGCCATACCATTCGAGTGCCATCTAGTGGCTGAAAATGGTATTATTCAGTATTTCAGTTCGAATAAATGAAAACGGTCATATCTCAGCCAAAAATTGGTTTATAAATATGGGGAAAAAAACTAATACGTCACTTTGGCGTATAAGTTGCATGGCATGCAAATTATGTAAAATAAACACGACTTATAGGGTGAAAAATACAGTACTCACACCTCAGATGAAAATATATATATATTTTAATCTTTCCTAAAGAAACTACATCTGCTTACAACGTGGATAACCCCTGCCCATCAGGCCTGTTTAATGGCAGAAATTTTAACCGTAAAGAGTTAAAAAAAAAAAAAAAGGATGTGGGTGGCCCTTATATCATCATCCCTTTATTTAACCAGATAAAACCCCATTGAGACCAAGATCTCTTTTCCACGGGCGACCTGGCCTAGAGGTCAGCAGCACACGTCATAATAATCACAACAATTAATGATCTTAGCCGTGACTAAAACACAATGGTTAAGAAAGTGAAAGCAATAATTAAAAACATAGACAACAAGAAAATAAGAAAAGTGAAGAAAACAATTAAAACCATTAAATCCAGTTTGGTTCAGCTTGGGTTTCCTGACCTATCCCTTAGTTATGCTGCTATAGGGTTTGGGTCTCACTCTGCTGCAGAATGTACTCGCTCTACTCTTTATATTTGTAACTGACATTATTGCAGCAATTAACTTTATGTTTTCCTTCAACCAACACCCCCCCCACACACACACACACACACCCCACCACCACCACCACCCTCCCTTGCCTCTGTGCCGCGCAGGATGAAGAAAATCTGCTGGTTTGCTTAGACAACTTTTTATTGATTAACATTTTTTAAGTAGACAACTTATAATTGTATTATAATTAAATTAAACTGAATAAATGTAATTGGGTTTGGCTCGGTTTTGATCTGCATGTAATTTGTTATAAATGGGGCTTGAACTAAACTCCCCCTCGCAAACCCTCAAACAAAGCTACAAAATAGGTAAAGAAAGAAACATCAACTTTTAGAATGTTTTAATTTTTATTCACTATATTTAATTAATTATCACAACTGCTGAGCATAAAAATGTTATTAACCAACATTTTTTAATTTAAACACTGAATTATATTCCCACTGAAAAAAAACTTTTCAACAGTTGACAGAAGAACAAAACAACAGAAATCTAACCTCTCTCTCTCTCTTATTATTATTACTATTTTTTTATTTTATCTTTTCTCCCGCTTTGTGGGACCCTAGCGCCCCCTGGCGGCCACCAAGGGGGCCGCGGCCCCCCACTTTGAAAGTCTTTAATTGTTCCCACCTCACCTGTTCCCACCTGTTTTTAAATGACTGTGACAGACTCACTTTCGCAGATCCCGTTCGTCCTCCCATTTCTGCTGCTTCAGAAGCTTCTTCTTTTGCCTCTTGGATAAGTTTGGGTCTTCTCCGTTACAGTCCCCGCTCCCCTGGCCGCTGCTGTTCTTCTCCTGCCGGTCCGGAGCTTCAGTTTTCCCGCTGTCATCAGCCGAGATGACCGATGACTGCTCGCTCATGTCGCTGTGAAAACGAACCGCAGAGTCCTTTATCACCGCACCAGAAAAACAAAAATACTCCGCTGGAATGATGCTCTCTACACGTTACAGCGTGGCGCACACGTGACGTCACTCAACAGCGCCAGCTGCCTTCAAAGAAATAGGATTTTTCAGGAACGTCAATGAATCGGTTGAAGTGGACCTTTAATTTATATTTTTATTAGATTTAAATTAAATAATTGTCAGACCCTCCATAACAGATGAACACCACATGATGCATTACTCTTAATTATTTATTTAACAAAAAGTGATCCAAGTTTTGAGAAAGTTTGTGAAAACAGATTTTTTAATGCGTCAAAGTTCATACTCGATCACCTAGATATCAAATACCATATCCAATAATTCTGTCAAATACCATATCCAATAATTCTGTCAGGTCATCTGGACTGAGATTTTTTTTTAAATGATCTTTGACAGCGATACACCAGTTTTTTTGTTTGTTTTGGTATGAATCAAACCATCTCACATGATGGTGGAAATTTTTTGGCCCTCTCTTTGTCTATTGTTGCTTCAGTTCACTAACAACAAAGTTCATGTTTGTGCTCAGCTCCGTGAAGGTCCCACAGCATGAGGTTTGGGACTTTAACTGGACCATTGCAGAATCTTGACTCTTGTTTTTTGGGGATATTTTTACCTGTTTTTAATTTTTATTTTTTTATTTTATTTGTAGATTATCTGCTGCATTTGGAGTCAATGAACTGTTGTTCCTGACCACATTTAGACAGATATCTTTATATTTACCTCCAGAACCCTTTGGTCTACAGAGAAGTTCACGGTCCACTCAGTAACTGCAAGGAGTCCAAACCATCAGCTCTCCACCACCGTGCTTCACAGTTTGTTTGTGATGTTCGAGCTGAAACGTTGCTTTTTGTTCAAACATGGTGATGTGCATTGTGGGTAAACATCCTGACTTTGGTTGCAGATGTCTTGTGGTTCATTCAAATACAAATTTGTGAACAGAAGTTTTTCTGCCATGTTGTTTTGCAAGAGAAGAGGTTTTCTCCTGCAACCTTTCTAAACAAATACTTGTTCAGGTGTTTTCTACTTGTCCTTTCATGACCTTTTGACCTGCTAACTGAGGCTTGTAGAGTCTGAGATGAAGCTCTTGGGTTGAGGTCATCTACACATTTTAAGACGTGCTAATGTCCAGATAATTGTTGGGTCATCTGGTGAAAACAGAAAAATTGACAAAGGAGTACCTGTAAACATTTTGGACAGTGATTGTGTACCTGAGACCACAGACAGGATTCTGTCTGGTAATGAAAAGTAAGAAAAATCTTATATAAGAACTATAGAGTTAATTAGAAATAACATTATTTGTTTGTTTGTTTTTTAAAATAAAATAAAATGTATTAGGCAGAATATCTGCTAATATCTAGTTAAAATATAGTGTCAACCTGTCGGAGTGTTAACTGCAGGATGCATTTCATATTAGTGAGGGTTATGTGTGCATGGTATGGCTCTGGGCGTGATGGTATGTATCATCAACACACTCAGATTAAATGCCTCCGAGGATATAGTTACAGCCCTGAAAAATGACCCTGCATCCCCCCCCCCCCCCCACACACACACCCTGTTTAACCTAGCTACAGTGTGGGCCCACAGATGCTTACAGTATTTTAGTGAGAGCTCCAGCAGCAGCGGTGAGAGGCCTGTTTTCTGTAAATCATAAATCCTGAGAAAGAGACGTACGGTAATCTACAGGAAACACCGCTGAACTGAGATCAACTCAAATAAACCATTAAATGTTCACAGCAGCTGTAACACTGAAGCTTTAAGAGGATTATTTCCAAGTCCTCATGAGTCTGAATGGATCCTAATAAAACTTTCAGAAACTGGATGCACATCATCGATTGAATAACTTTTGGGAGATCTGCATCTCTTCATGTACCGCACGTCTTTCTTTGTGTTTCAAAGGAGAGGTGAGAGCACAACTGTACCACATTTAGACATTTACTTTTTTATTTCTGATTTTTTTATTTATTTTATTTACAGATTATAACTTAAAAAAAAAAAGAAATCTCTGCTTCTCAAAAGGTCCTGACAATCTTCTCAAAAGTGGATGTTCCAGAAAATTCACATTAAGTTCAAACCAACAAAAAGGCAAACACAAACCACGAGCTGCAGGATTCAGTGAGCAGGTCGGAGAGAAAGAAACTGAGTTTGTTTGGAACAGAGGAAGCCTCGTCTCTCTAAAAACAGCTTCAGTTTGCAAAGTTTCATCTGAAAAAACTACAAGACCTCTAGACCAAAGTCTTTTCGAAAGATGAGACTAAAGCAGAGAAGCTTACCCATAATGCACAGCAGCGTGTTGGAAGAAACAGTATATCAGCACAAACACCTCACTAACTGTCAGCATGGTGGTGACGTGCTGATGGTTTGGGCTCCTGGCAGTCACTGAGTGGACCATGATCCAGTGGTGATTTTAGTCTTTTTGGGGTGCTCAAGAACCCCTAAAGTTTAACTAGCATTATGAGTTTGTAAGGAAGCTTCATTCTCAAACTTTAAAGTCACAAAAATATTGAATAAAAATGGAATAAATGGTTACACTCTTAAACGGGCCAATAAAATCTATAATTTTTTTTTGCATGAGTCAAATCCTTGACGCCACCTGTTAATCAACCCAGTACACTCAGCAGCAACTGACCAATCGGTGACCTCAATTTGTCCCAAAGGTAAACGCCCCTTACCTGCAGGAGCTCCACCCCCTTTTCCTCCGACAACACTGTCAGGGTTTTGCATTACGAACACTTTGCAATCAGAGGCTAATAGTTAAATTAAAGATTAAAGCTAGTTGTTTTGTGTGTTTTGTATGTAGATATATGTTGTAACTTCTGGTTGCATAAAATTAGTCTTTGCTTGTTATGATCCTTTAAAAGTCCTATTGGTGACTGAGCTATTTGTTTATGGCCATACCACCCTGAACGTGCCTGATCTCAGCTTGGGCCTGGTTAGTACTTGGATGGAAGAACGCCTGGGAATACAGGTGCTGCAAGCTTTTGCACTTCTCAGAAACCACACCATGGAGTGCCTTGTTCAAGCCAAGAGCCATTTGTCAGGACTGGGGGCTAAGCCCCCTAAAGGTCAGATGCTAGAATCGCCCCTGCCATGAACTCCTCAGTAGACCAAAGGAGTCCAACTGTCCAACAGCTGAAGCTTGAATCAAACTGGGTCCAACAGGACAATGATCTCTATCACAGCAGCTGATCTACAACAGAACGTGTCAGAAAGAAGAGTCCTGGATTGGTCCAGTCAAAGTCCAGAACCTCAGCCTGAGTGAAATGCTGTGGTGGGACCTTCAGACTTGTATTCACTTTGGATCAACAGGAAGTGATAAAACATGTTTTCAAAAAAGTTGCATTGTTTATTTAGCTTTCACATGGAGTAACATTACATTTAACGTCACTTGCACATACAGTCTCATTTAAACACTGTGCATTTACATTTGTACATTTTAATCCCACAAGTTAGTGGGAGCTCCACAGCAGGGCATTTAGCAGCTCTGCACTGCTATGTTGGCTTTGTTAAGAGAAACCAAACCATTTTCTATTTGAACAAAAGGACAAAAATAAAAAATAAATAAACCAAACACACATATTTGAAGGTTTGGGTATTGATGTGACTGACACAGCTCAAGTTTTCATTGATTCGGTGTCCTTAAAAAGTCTTTCTGTCCACACTCACCACTTTCTCATAAACACTCAAACATCCACATCAGTCCCTCCAGTGTCCCTACTTCCATTTACCCCCACAATTTCACTTACATCATGTAAGACTTTAAAAACACAGTCCCAGAAACACGTCACACATCAGGTCCAACTGTGGAGTCAGAATTTACCCACAATCCTCAGGAGGAAAAACAAACATCAGTTTCTCAGTTTCTGACCCACATTTGAATTCGTCATTTATGAACTGTTGGATATGGACACCAGTGGCCCCCCCCAGGGACCGGAAAAGAAAGAAGTGGGTTAAGATGATGGATGGATGGATCATTGGATGGATGGATGATAGTTGGATGGATAGATGTTTGGATGGATGGTTACATAGTTGGATGGGTGGTTGGATGGATGGATGG